CCCACCGAGGCCTCAATCGTCGGGCATGGCCACTGACCATTGATGCCAATGACAGACCGAGAGAAGCCATCCGGCGCAGCAGTCACCCAGTCCACCGTCCATTTGTAGGTAACGACTCTGGCAGACACAATCGTGCCTACCCCGGCTGTGGCTAAAGTGAGGAAACGCGAGAAGAGCATGTCCTCTGTTGAACGAAGGTCGCTTCCTTAAGCGGAGACTATCCGAAAGGTCCGGGTGAAATCAACCAAGAACGACAGCTGCGGAGTGACACGAAAGGACAGGCTTGGTAAAGAAGACTGCTCAGTGATAGAGGTTTGGTTTCGTGCACACTCGGAGAGGGCATGCAGAGGACTTTAAATGCGGTAGCTACATTGTGCCCGAGTGGCGCGGGCGGTGCTGGCCAGCAAACTGGCCCAGGCACGCGTCCAATGCCAACTTCGGACTATGGCTAGCGCTTCGAGCCAGAGCAAGGGGAAAGAAATATCGAATGTCAACTAAGGCATGGGTCTGGAGACGGTTTGGCGCACAGAGATGACGTGGTACGGATTGCTGTGAATCTGGACCGCACCCTATCTACCTGTGCTTACTTGAGGCAAAGAATGCTGCAGAGCCGGACTACGCCACCAAGAACTTGGGAGTGAGATATGTAGAAGCTTCCCTGCAGTCAGCTGTATCTTGGCCCGTTGCTGAAGGGTGGGTAAGGCATGCTCAGGCTGGAGGCTTCAGAGATGGACATGTCGTCGGGCATCCCTTGACAGGCCGGCCTGTTGGCGATGTAGAGCAGCAGAACATGGATACGCTTTTGCTGTCCCGCATGACAGACCGAAAGGGGGTGGATGTGTTAACCGAATATGTGACCAAGCTTCTACATCAAAGCAGGAGGAGCGCAGGATATGCCCGGCCCCGCCCAGGCCGCATTGTCCGTTGTGGTATCCGGGGTGTGTTCAAAGGCGAGAGAGGGCTTTCAGGGACGCTCTGCATCTGAAAGCCAAGGATCCGATGGGCGTTGATAGACTTTGGCGACTCGGGTTGGTCGGCGAGGTTGAACAAGACACTGGCGGCGGAGATGAGCAGCAGCAGCCACCACAGGGCTAGAATGGTCTTCCGATAGTCATGTGGCTACCAGCAGGTTGTCGGAAGTCTTCCAGTCAGCAAATCAGACGCCAAGTCAAAAGATGACTCTGCAGGGCCTCAGCTTGGTGTGTGGAACGACGAAGCGGGAGCAGTCTGGTAGAAGCTGGGATGCGAAGGGCACAGCAGGCCGTTAGGACGCTGTGTGTGCCTTGAGGCGCATTGGAATTCCGATCCGGGCGGCTGGTGCTCTCCCAATACGGAAGCAAAGGTGTGTTGGGGTAGGAGGAGAGGAGGTGTGGGCGAAGGGGGGATGTCCGGTAGTCCGAGATGCTAGATTGTCATGACGTCCATGGTCCAAACGAGAAGTTGTTGGTCGCTGTTGTCCTACCAGGAGCATCACCATCAGTGCCAGGATTGCAAACTAGGTAGGTAAGCGCAGTTTCTCACCTGCCCTAAGAATCAAGTGGCCCATATGCGGGCTGTTGTTTATGGATCCTCAGATCAGGCTCTTGACAAGATGTTGCTTGGCTGCTTGAACGAAATGCACAACACATCCTCCGACGACTGGCCGAGCTTCCAGAGCTCCGGGTAGGTAGGCGAGGCAGGGATCGCAAGATAAGGTGAGGTAGAGGCAGACCAGGGAACAATAGCACAGCAGAAGAAGCGTGGCGTCTTTCGAATGGCGTCTTTCGAATGGCGTCAATCGATCGGGTTCGATGGAGAAGAGAAGTTGGTCACCTCCCACGTCGCATTCGAGGACAGATGTGGTGTTGGACGCGACTGACTACCTCACTAATGATAGGGTCGTCCCTGCCCTGGCCTCCCCTTGAACGTCGGTCAGGTGTGTCTGTTTAGGTCCCAGGTACGCGCTCAAGGCACCTCGGCTTGCGTGTCTGAGGCAAGCTAGGTGCCTACACGCCTGGGGAGGCACTGAGTGCCCACTAAATTTAAAGCCTGGCACAGTGCTTCAGCAGGGCCGCCCGCCTATGACTCCCCCGCCGTCTGCTCTCAGACTCCATTTCTCGTGCCACCCTCGACAGCTGTGACAATTCGTGTTTTTCATCATACCACCATGAATACCTTGCGATGCCGCCTCTCCCCTTAAGATTCGCCATTGTAAGCCGCACAAACCACCGCCGTTGACATTTTCAATCTCCATGCCGATCGTCCGCTTTCTAGCATCTATGGGCAAAAGAATCTCAGCTTACACGCCAAGGAGCCTACATCTCAGCGCTATTTCTAGAGCAGGGGTCGAAGAAACAAGCTGGCCAAGCCAGCAGCCTCTTGTTGAATGCCGGACAGGAAGCGATGCAATACGAGGGACCACAGCACCGGCCGGCCGGCATTCGCATCAATGCGTAATGAGCACCAGGGTACAACTCATCACACCTCTTCGCTGCTTCGGCCGAGACCTGCAGCTACCCTAAATCCTCGCCCTGCTTGACGCCCGTTGTGGCACGCTCCCGCGCGCTGTTCGGCGTCCCGGCCGCTGGTTCGCTTGCATGTGTTGTGGCTGCTTGCCTGGATGTCTGGTCGCCCCATGCAGAAGAACAAAGCCCCGACGCAGCATCTGACCGAGTTCACCTCGCCCCCTCCAACAAATGTGGGTTCGGCTCGCATGGCTGGTGCCAATGCGCTATCCATAATCACCGAGGCGGCGCATTGCTGACAGCGTCGCTCCTGTATGTCAGCATTCGCAAATTGTCAACCCACCCTGCGGACTTCGAGCCAGACTGTAGCCGTCACTGCGTGGGAATGCTAGGGTCGGAACCGATCATGATCGACACTTCCTCGGCGAAGCTTGGAACAGCGTCGAGGTATGAGCCGGAGGCGAGCATCGTCACGTAGGTGTTTGGCGGTGAGGGGATGCATGCTGACAGCCCATCACAAGAGGCAAGGCCTCAGCTGAGCAGCCATCACATCAACATTCCTCTTGACGTGTATGCCTCGTTTATTTTCAGGTTGAGGATGCCATCATCGGTCACTTCCAACGACATCGGCGTGCCCTGTCAGTGGCTTGGAGTCTCGTCAAGCATGGGCCCTTGGTCAGGCCTCGGGTCTCCTTGGCGTAATAGTACTGGAATCTTATACTGACATTTTGTAGACGTTGTTTGATTATTTTTATACGTTTCAGTACATTATTGAGGTTCTTAATTAAAAGAGTATTAGAATTTAAATGTTTAGTAAAGAATTTTTTTTAAATATTTAATATTTAAATATTATAGATATTCTAATAAGGTAAAATTATATATAAAAAATAATTTTTTATTTTTATTTGACATTTTACCTTTACCTTCTTTAATTCTAATAAATAGTAACTCTGATAAAAATAATTCTGAAAATGATTATTCTTCTGAAAATTCTAATTCAGAACTCGAACAAGATGCCGATGATCCACGAAAAACCTTACCACGATTTGCATATTACATTTCAATGTAATACAGGTGTTGCACGGCTGTTTTCAGTTAATGTTGTGAAATTATGGGTTTTCCATGAATTAACAGAATCCTTTGCTTTATTTATTATTCTAATAATTATTATTAGTAATTTTATACAGCACTCTTTTTAAAGAATGAAAAGATAAGAAGGAATAAGACAAGTCATCATGGCCCTTATATTGTGGGCTATAGACGTGCCACATGTTCCTTAACAAAGAGAAGCTTCATTTCCCCATGAGATGTAATCACACTGCTCACATTCCAGCTTTGGACTCAGATTCGTTACAGACGATGCATTGACTCGGGGCAGGGCACGGAGGGTGCATGAAGTACCGATGGGCTACGGCCGGCCCATTTGATAAAGCAGTCCGTGGAGTTGCTTGAACCAATTAACGAGTTCGCATTACAGATGTAGCTTGGTATCACAGCCTAGCCGTCACAACATGTTTTTGTCGAACTGCGTGATCTTATGGTACGGTGTTCAATTCTCCAGGACGAACAGAGCCAGTGATGGAGGCCGGAGTGTATCGTGTCTTGAGGAGTGCTGGACAAAGCTCAACATTCTAAGAAGCCAAAGAGATGACAGCGATCATACTGGCACAGGTGTCGTCCAATACCGAGACTGAACACGTGATTGATGGGCAGCAGCGAGGTACTGCCCGAAGCGTAGGTACCTTAGGTAAGATAGGCCACGCCACCACATGGATGCTCAATGAGGAGAAATACATGGCCAAGGTTCACCAGATTGATGAAGGTAAAATTACTATCTAAATACAGGCTGTTTATTTTGACTTAGAAAAGAGACCTCGCAGTCATCAAGGATCATGTCTCTGATTCGATCCTGCCATTACCAGCCACGACCGCCATCCAGGTGTACGCTCAACACCATAAAACATACTCGCACGGACCATGCACGATCCCCTGACCTGGCAGCCCTCGAACCTAATTGGAACCTTCTGCACATCAATTCAGCGACCATTCGGGTCCAGGCACAAAAGACAGTCTGGAATAGAGTTATACTCGGAAGTCTAGTCTTTGGTGTAGGGCTGACTGACCTCTCGTCAACCGGCCTTATGCTTTCATCGCGATGTAGCAATCTCCGACGTCTTTTGATATTTTCGCGTATCCATATATAAACAGAGTATATAAGGATCATTGCAGAATTATGAACGTCGCATCTGTTCTTCTGTTCTTGTCTCACGTTTTTTCACTGGTGTTTTAACCGCATCGGCCCATATCGCTTGTCAAGCAAGCTAGCAACCGCCAGTCTTTTTCAACTTGTCTCAAAATCACAACTCGAGGGACAGTGATCTACTATCGGCCAGGGTCACTTGTTTTGTAGAGACGGTCGAAATTTTGTCACGATGCCTCTACTTAACAATCATACAATTACCACGAGGAAGCGGCATAGTCTTCTAGATGTTCCCCACCTAGCCGGGACTCGAAAAGATCATCTCCAAGACCAACAGAACTACAAAAGCCACATCAATGACCCTCAGAGAACATGAGAAACTAAAATTACCAGAGAGAAATCCGAGAACTCCCTATAGCAGTTTAAAGGCGGGCCGCTCGCCCCAAGCCGTTCGTCCTCCTTCGACCGTCTCTTCCGAAAGCAGCCATTCTGCTCAAGAAGGGCATACTCATCAAGGAAGCCCTCCGCCCATCGTTACAAAGCGCACGCATTGCATCATCACACCTCCCAACAGTTTATCCCCCTCCTCGTCTCCCGTCTTGTCAACAGTCTCTACTGAACTTAGCCCGCGCCTCGACGCTGCTGGTTTCTACGCTAAGCTTCGCGCAGCCATCGGCCTACCTACCTTGCCCAAGTGTGACATTGAGATATTCCTTCGATCTCTTGATGGCTTTGATGACAAAGTTGACGTATCGCGCATCCTCACTCCACAGCAACAGCACGCCGTCGAGGTAGCATTCGGCTTCCCGACGTGCCCCCTCGTCCTCTCACACGACTCGCGTGAGCAGGCAGTTGCCGTGGCCCAGAAGCGACTTCACGAGTACCTCGTAGACATGTTCCGCGCCGCTCTGGAATGTGTGGCCTATTACCCTGGCCCAAGCGACGACGGCTACGAGGAGCACAGGCACGATGAGGCCTACGTGGAGGAACGCATGTGCGACTTCTTCGCTATGATCGGGTCAAACATAAACTCGAGACATCGCGAGGATCCTGCGTGGGTGGTAGGGTACGGTCTCAGTGCCCTTGGCGGCGATGTCAAGAGGGCGCTGTTCGAGGGGATTCTTCACAGTTTTCGAACGACAGAAAACCACGAAGCCGTCTGGACGGAGTTGGCGGTTGCAGTGGGCAAATGGGAGGAAGCATGGTGGATCAAGATGAAATGGTTCTAAGCTACACAAAAGACGGTGCTTGGGGTAGAACGCAATGAAGGACAACCTTGGTTCAAGGCTTGGTGAAAAGCACGCCAGAGGAGAAGGAGGCTGAGGGTGGAATTCTTAGATTGTATGGAGGGTACGAAGTTCCATGGCCGAACTCGCTGTTTATGGTTGCATGCATAAGAATGCCGTCAATTGACATCATGTCACGAAAAGGCGGTTCATCGATAGTTTTCAGTTGATATTATTAACGGACCATTCGTTCATCTTGTGTCCCTACCATGACTCTGGTTTTGGGCCATGGCCGTGGCTCTCAGCAAATCAACTCCTGATGTCTTGCTGCTGAAACCTGGGCATGAGACAATGCTGTTGCAGTGCCTCATTTAGCGTGCCAGGAAAGGCATACCACAGTACATGCCAAACCTTCCGAAAATCCAAGGAACAGCCCCCGCGCTCGCGCACTATACCGTCGAGATGCTGTTGAAAGGAACGCCAAAATATTGGCCGGCCAAGGCCATCGCACAGAGACTCATACAGAAGGTCATGGAGAAGTTGACGTCGTTGTTGTCAAGAATGTCCACGCCGTTTTCAACGACGCGAGTTGGTTGAGAGTCGCCGAAGCTTGAGGTTCTGTGCTTGTCCTTAGGATCATACTTGGCGCGAGATGTGACGTCTGCGGGAGTGTCGTCAATGGCGCTAGACGAAGCGACGTCAGCCTCGGGCTTCTCGACGGAAGCGGAACCCTCGCCCTTGAGCGTCACATCCTTGACAACAGAATGCTTGGTTTTGACGCCCTCATCAGTGGACACCATGGCTCGGTTACCACCTTCGCCTTCGACGACCTTGCCTGACCGGACGTCTTTCACGGTGCGCTGGAAGCTGGCACCAAGCCAGCTGTCGAAGATGCTGCCAACAAGGCCCCAGAGCGCAATGAGGACCAAGAAGATGGCGCGCTGCTGCGCCGTCCACGGGACGCCTCCACCGACGGTACCAGCGGTGCTATCATCGCAGGTAGGCAGGAAGAAGATGGCGGTGGTAGATATGATGATCGATCCCAACAGCCCGGCGGCAAGACCCTCGAGGGTGACTCCGCCGTTGGTACCCCGAGGGACTTTACGAGCGGGGTCGGTGATGAGGCGGGGCTCGCTGCGGGCAAGAATGCCAAGCTCCGAGCTGAAGGTATCCGCGGCAGCGACGGCATAGTTGGCAACGATGCCGATAACAAGGAGGTCAACTTGGGGCCCCCAGGAGAAGCACAGAGTGGAGTTGGGATTCTCGGTCTCGGTGTCGGCGAAAAGCCTCTCACGCCTCCTGAGCTGGTGGGCGTGCATCCACGTCAAGGAGGTACCGATGAGCGAGTTGGCAAAAACTAGCAAGAGTAAGAATCAAAATCATAGCAAAGTAGGCAAGGGCACGGGGCGTTGCGGTAACCTACCTTGGATGTGGGTTCGGGGGCCCTCATTGTTGGCTCCTGAGGAGGTCAGGGTGAGAGTGGCCTTGTAGTCTTGCTTGATCTGTGACAAAAGTCAGCGTATACTTCCTCAGAACGACAATCTAGGTGGAATGAGATTTACCTTGGTAACACGCGTGCCAATGAGGAAGAAGACGACAAGCAGAACAAAGGGAAGGTTCCAAGGGTGATAGGCATGAACGGCAGCGGTGAAGACGGCAGCCGCGATGCCTGAGGGAGTGAGCTTCTTCTTGAGGTGCGCATAAGCAACGAGGGCCAGCGTGACCGGTACAGCGATTAGCGGTTGCATAGCGACGGCTGGTTGAGGGGGCCGGTGACAAGTGTGATCTGAGGAGCTATAATGGATGAGTTCGGTGCATCGATTGACAGGGCCAGGATTCAGATTACCTCTGCTTTGGAAGACGAGTCAAAGGCAAGTCAGGGCAAGCCGCGATGGATTAAACGTAGTTGTGGCGTGTCGCTGAAGTAAGGAAAGTGGAATGGGGCAAGAAGGTTGGAAGGCAGGCAGGGCAGGTTAGGTTAGCTGTAATTACGTAGCCCGTTCTAGAAGGCCGTAACATGGGGTCTTTCCATTGTTCACAGAATGCAGCCTGATCCCAGCCATTGGCTTCAGCAGTCAGTGGCATCACGTGATTGAGGATCCTTCCTCATATCTGGTTGAATGAGATCACACTCTGCTGAAAAGTCTTAAGCGATTCCAGATCTTAGCCGTGCCGGTCAGGAAACTAGATGCCCATGGATTCAGGTCACTGGTATGAAATTTTGTTGTGCATGGTATGCTTGGCCGATGGGACAAAGGTAAACGAGCATCTCTCTCGCATTCAAGGCGTCTGAGGCTGGCACACGACAGGGGTTGATATCGACCAGGATCACTCACTATTTCCCGTTGCTATCGATCTAGCGACCTGCCTAATTGGTATTTTAGCACTAGGATTTGTCCACCAGACAATCCGTGCTGTATTTTACGGTAGGTAGTCGAGTCTGGACAGCGCGCAACAACTTTTTGACATGTGTCATCTCAAATATATATGCAGATTGTTGAAGGCACGAAATGCATACGTGAAGCATCTGAAATCCAACATGGACACTGGTCAACAATTCGACAGCCATTCACCCGCATGAGATCTGAGTGTGCCCTGAATAGCCTCAGAGATGGAAATATGATGATTTCGTCAAACTGTGATCACTAGCTTACTCATCATGCGATTCCTTCATACATCCATCCCACTCAGACCTTGAGTAAACGCGCTGACTGACTGTGCCAGAGATCAATGTTGAGTCACACCACCATTGACGCATTCAACTCCTGCACCGTTTCGCGATAACGAGGGGTTGATAGAGGTTATATTCAGGTGCAAAGCTGGAAGAACCACGAAACTCGACCTCGCAAAGCCCTTGCTCGTTAGCCGCAATGGCACACACATCCTTTGACATGCAGGCGTTCCACGCTCAAATCGACGATGCTCTCAAGAAGCACTTCCCTCCTTCGTCGCCGCCAACTCTCCCACATCCTTCAGCTCTTGCTCGCGCGGCAGCCTCCCTTCCCAAGGCCTCTGATGCTCTATTGAAACCCCTCGGCGTCTCTGCCACGACAACTCATCTCCTCGACGATATCGTGCCTGCCCTCTCTGGCCAGGCCCTCTCACCACGCTACTATGGCTTCGTCACCGGCAGCGTTCACCCCGTCGCCCAGGCCGCCGAAGCCGTCGTCGCCGCTCTGGACCAGAATGTCCAGGTCCACCTCCCAGATCAGACCATCGCCACTGACGTCGAGGCATCGGCCCTCGACCTCCTCGCCGACCTCCTCGGGCTATCTCATCCGCAGACCGGCGCCCCGCGCGGCATCTTCACAGGCCGCACCTTTACGACTGGCGCCACGGGGAGCAATATCCTCGGCTTGGCGTGCGCAAGAGAACATGTTCTTGCACGGCGCGTGCCGCCAGGTTCACCCTCGGTGGGGGAGCTTGGAATCTTGGGCGCCTGCGTCGCGGCAGGGGTCACGAATATTCAGGTTCTGACGAGCATGGGCCACAGCTCGCTCTCCAAGGCAGCAAGCGTTGTAGGTCTGGGCCGGGCCAGCGTCAAGCAGATGGCCAAGAGTCCCGAGCGGCCGTGGCTTCTCGACGTGGATGCTGTCGAGAGAGAGCTTGTGGCGAGAGACGGGACAGGCGTCGCGACCATTATTGCGGTCAGTGCGGGAGAGGTGAACACGGGGCTTTTCGCAGCGGGCAAAGAGGATATGAAGCGGCTGAGGGAGCTGGCTGACCGGTACGGCAGCTGGATTCATGTGGACGGAGGCAAGTGGTTCCCTGTTATGTGTGTGGCAAAGAAATGGACCTAATATGGGAAAACACAGCATTCGGTATCTTTGCCGCCGCACTCGCTCCCGGAACCGTCTTCGACAAGCTCCGCGAACGGGTTTCAGGCGTTCACCTCGCAGATAGCATCGCGGTAGACGGACACAAGCTTTTGAACGTGGTAAGACGAGATTTCTGTCCTTGGTCTCGATTGATTCACATCATTGGGGTATACTCTGCTGACAATCCACTCAAGCCGTACGACTGCGGCATGTTCTTTACCCGGTCACTGCCCACCTTGACCAATGTCTTCACCAACCCAAACGCAGCCTACCTTGCCTCGTCTGCCGGCGCCCCGATCCCCAGCCCCCTAAATGTCGGCCTCGAAAATTCACGTCGGTTCCGGGCCCTGCCAGCGTATGCAGTCCTGCGTAGCGAAGGTCGCAAGGGTATGGCCGCCATGCTGGGTCGCATGGTTGAGCTGGCGCGGCGAATCGCGTGTTTTGTGCGTGACTCGGAACACTACGACTGGCTGCCCGATGGTGAGGCAGATGTTGATGATACGCACATCATCGTCTTGCTTCGGGCAAAGAACCTCGCGCTGAATGATGAGCTCGTGGCGCGAATCAACGAGACGAGAGATATGTACGTCAGCGGCACTTCATGGGGCGGACGAAAGGCAGTGAGGGTGGCGATCGGTAGCTGGCGGGTCGATGTTGAAAGAGACTTTGCGGTCGTGGAAGCGATCCTGTCCGCCGTTGCCGAAGGTCGTCCGTACGCCGCAGCTGTCTAGGCGAGGAATCAAGTATAGAGACAGGATCGGTAGAGGCGTAGAGCAGACAGACGGTACATGCAGCTCAGCTCAGCCGTAACGACGGCTGCCGCCCTTGTTCAGACCCTTCTCGCTCTTGTCGGCCTTCTTGCCTTTGCCGATCAATTCGAGATGACCGGCACGCTCACCCAGCATCTTTTCCGTCTTGGTGATGAGGCCGGCGCAGTACTTCTTCTGCAACTTGTCGGCGGCTGAGTTGGCCTTGGCCTTTTGGGGCTTGTTGACCTTGGATTGTTTTTTGGTCGTCTGCTTGGGCTTGCCCGTGGGGGCAGGTCGCGAAGAGCTCTTGATAGCGCCTTGTGCCATTTTGCGGGCCTGTTCGCTTGTATTTTCGAGTCCGTGGTCGAGAAACCGAGAATGTTGGCAACGTTGCTGGCCGATGGAATCGACTTTTTGTTGTCAAGCTGAGTAGGAGCGAGCCAACGGGAGAAAATCAGCATCGACTGGAGGCGGGGCCTACCCAGAAGATTTAGTGGAGCTTTCTTATCTAATCGAGTATCGAGATCGGATTGCGGGCGGGCGGAGCCGTGGGTCGCCGTGGGGAAAGGAACGTAACCACCAGACTCAACTACATGGAATCTTCAACCGACGGCCACCCCCAGCCACAGAACGCTTCAATCTTGCCGAATCCGGGAGTCAATCAATGGGCACTCATATCATTTGTCTCTCTGAAGATACGCGGCAAACCCAGTGATTATGGTACAGCACCCAAGTTCCATATGGCAACATCGACAAGTCCCTGCAAGCCCACGTCAGACTCGCTCCACCCGACGCAAACCCCCAAGTAAGCGTTCGAGCATGGCTACATCGACTTGGGGACACTGTTCGCTGAATCCAGGAAGGAGATCCTCCAGCGATTCATGCGTATTGCCCGAATCGAGGGAAAACATGACATGCCCCATCCCCAAATACTCCCTTAGTATCGTCGCCCATAACACCTCAGTCGTACCGTTGGCCTTCTTCTCCTGAGTAGCGATTGTCTGCATCCAGCTCTCTAGCGAGACCATCTCAATTTTTCTCCCATCGCCACTTAGTGCTGTCACCACGTCTGATAGATCCCGCAGCTCCAGGGGCTTGGGGTTGCTGATGTGATAGAACAACGGCTTGTCTCTCGATACCGAACGAAATTCGACGGCTACCCTTTCTGACGTCAGGGTGAAGAGACCTCGTACTAGGTAGTCCACTGGCACCAAATCGATGACGAAACGGGGTTGCTTGGGTGACCCTACGGTCGGGATCTTGCCAGAGTCGACCATCGCGAGAATCATGCGAAGCGCAAGCTCATCACCGGTGCTCGTCAAGCTACCGTGCCGTGGGATGGTCACGGCCGAAGCGCGTGTGATCGTGACCGGGAATCCACGGGACGCTGCGCTGCATAGGAGGGCCTCTGCCACCCAAAGGGACTTGAAATAGCCGTGCTGGTTCTCAGCTGGGGGTTGGAAGTGGGACATGGCGCCCTCGGTTGCGACCCAGGTGTTGAGATTTCGACTAACCAAAGACCATGATTGTAGGTGTCCGACAGACCAAGACGAAAGGTAGTGTATTTCCGAAAGATGTTCGCCTGTGCCTGCCAGCTGAATGAGATCGAGGATTGGTGTGGCATTGATAGATTTCAACTGTGTGTAAGTCTTCAACAGACAGACATGCCCCCCCAGATGGTAAATGGTCTGCACCTCACGGCCGAGCTCACGAAAGTCTGATTCGCTGAGACCTAGCCGGGGCTTCGACAGACAGCCGTAGACACATCTCACACGCGAGAGGACATCGTCTCTGTCGAGATGGCCATTGGAGCTTATGCCTACTAAACCGTGGTTCTCCAGTAGATCCATCAAATCGTCTGTGCTGAGAGGCTTCAGGGACCCAAGCACGTAAACAACAACATCGCGCTTGCTCACCAAGATTTCCGCAAGAAGAAACAAGCCAACCGAAAGTTCGGCACCCGTGACGAGTATCCTGGTGATATCATCCCGATCAACGCGGGGATTGCTATACCGGGGGATATATCGCGGATTGGTGGGAAGCTTCGTCTCCGAACTCCAGTCTATGGTGTTTTCAACAGCGTTGCTGACAGCACAGCCCCTGTTTTGGCGAATATAGGTACAGACGGCGGCAACTGTTGGTTCCTTGATGAACTGAGACACCGGAGGTGCGATATTGAGCTTCTCTCGAATCCTGGCCTGAAGTCGGACGAGCAGGGTTGAGTGGTTTCCCTCCAGAAAGCGGCCATCGTCTGGATTTGGGTATTCATCTCCCAGAGTGCTCTTGAAGATAGCAGTGACTGACTTCTCTAGCCCTCCGGGTACAATTGGGGGGAGCACGCCACCGCTTCGTTGCGATTGCGACGCGCAACATGATTTCTGCGCAACCTTGGTGAGATTGGTGCGAACCCCGCAAGGGTTGATCTGCTTGTTCCCAGCAGTCAAGCCAGTAGACTCGAGTTGGTTGGCCGGGTGGAAGCTGGCTCGATGATTTCTTTGCACCATGCCATTCCGTTCTCCGTGACGGCCCCTTTGGAGTGCCAACTGGTCATTGATGGGCAATTGAGCAGTGAACTCGGGTCCGTTGAATAATCCGGCGGCGAAACGCGGCCCGCCGACGAGCAACTCTCCAGGCATATTGAGAAGTGTGAGGTGGCCCCTTAGATACCTTACGATACGTTGTTTGGTATAAAGATTGGTTTATCTGAAAGAGTTTATGGACCGAACTGCTCGATATAACTTCGGAGTGTAAGCTTACAGGGCGATCGAGTGGAGACATCTGATACGGGGTGTGAAGATGATTTATGCCTTTGTCCACACACCCACACAATTGGTCCATAATATTCATGATCGGGCTTCTCCTGTTTCTGAGGGTCATTACCGTGAACTGGTCCCTTTGGACCTTGACAAAGTGAATGACGCTGGTGTCGGACTTCCCCATGGGTCCGTCTAAGCACTTGACGCCCATCCGTCATCGCAAGTGCTTTACGTGACCAAGTATCCGGTCACGGCGGTCTTGAGGCCGGTATAGATTCGTTGAAGAAATTCTCCAAGGAGCAAGCGAGTCTTTCGGCTCGTCCTGTTCGATGGCGTGTCAGTGCGATCATCCCTGACAGCCGCGGATATGTTGGAACACAGGTGCGCCAACACCGCATCCTTGGGCACAAACTGTCTTTCAGTGCTCGCACTGTATTGCTTGGTTCCAGTGGAACTTGTCAAGGGCATCCTCTCTTGTTTCTTCAGCTTCTCAGGAGATCTACAGGCCTCTGCACGGTAGACTTTCGTTCAAAAGATCTTCGATGAGGGTGTTGTGGAAGGTGAAATTGAACGACCATCGATCAATCTCTTATGAGGTGGCCTAGAATATGTTAGGCCCTCAGCATCAAACATGACCCCGCAGTGACTAGCATCTGGCATCATTCATAGGAGCATGACTGAAGGCAGAAGTCATAGTTCGCAAACCAACTTGCATTCTACGCAGTTTTGCAGTATCCTGCATCCCAGCAGGGCCATCCGTGTGAGGTGGTACAGAAAGGGGTTTACATGTCGACGCCTGTGCCTACACCACGAGCTTGAATAATACTCAAACCTATGTTAATATGAACCACTATGCATGACCAAGGTTAGGCATGGGGCGAGGCGAAGCCATAGAACACTCTTTCGCATAAGTAGTACAAGTTAATGATACAACTCACCTGTGAAGCTGGTATTTTCAAGGGATAAGACTGGGCCAAAAACTAAGATTCGCTAGATCGGACGGCTGGAAAGTTGGACCAGCATCGATTCGGACGTTTAAATCTGGCTGTTGAACTGTTAATTGGCAACATCTTCTTCAGCAGCCTGTCTGAGCTTTAAATCATGAAACCATAATGTCATAAATGAGGAATGATTTTCCTGCTGGCATGATTGACGAAGAAGAGCCTCAGGACAATCTAGAGAGAGGGCTTTCCCGCCCAGCAGTTGACCTTGAATACTCTTTGCCGGTGGAAATTGAAAGCTCTGGTGCATGTCGCCAGGGTCAGGCCCGCCTGTATGCGTACACTTGGAGAACAAATACTTTATTGTTCGGTCACCTGTTCCCAGGCAGACGGTATCAAAAGAGAACGAGGTCAGACAGGAAGCGCGTAACCGCCAGACAAGCGTGTATGATGGGTGTCAAGGCGCCCATGACACCAGAAGACTGCTACCGATGAAACAACGTCTACCGCGAGGAATAGAACGCGCTGCTTACTGTAGGAAATGGAAGAATTGCGGAATTCAAGCAAAGTCGCGTCTGAAGTCTGTCGACTTGGAGTAGGCCGTATGCGACCAGGAGGATTCACCATGACCTTGCCTGGTTTGTGCTACGCCAATTCGTGCACACCAGGTAACCATAGAACGTCAAGACAACGAACATCATCCAAATCAAGCGGTCAGAAATGAAATGGCGCTCCAATTTGCTCTTGGCGACACACGTTGGATTGGACAGTAGTTTTGTCAAGTTGATTGACCAGCTGAAACTGGCCCCCATTTCTTCTTACCCTCACCGGACCTCCGCTGGGGAACTCGGTGCCCGTTGCTGAGCACGGCATCCGCTGACGGCACAAGACCGTCAAGCCATGTTATTGAGACATGCAAACTGCGTAACTTGGCGACGCAGATCGGATCGATATGTGGCCCAATTTGTTCCAAAAAGACAAGAATTGGCGTCTACTGCCGGAAGGACACATCAGCGCGCACTTGACGACCAAGATCTGTCGATTCGAAACAGGAAGAGTTCCCCAGGAGGGGACTAAGACACCGCTCAAAGTCTTGCTCAGCAGGAATCCTGCTTGACAAGATGCGTCGGACGTTGAGACTGAACTCCGGCTCTTCTGCTCGCCTCGGACCCGGTGCCTGTAGCTCCCGTTTTTGCTCGACCTCCGTCCTCCGTCCTTGACAGTTGTTGAAGCGGTTCTCCAACTACGTTTTCCTTCTCTCACAATGTCCGGACCTGCAGCGGACAATCATGCTAACGAAGTCTGACGCCAGCATATAAATCTGAGTGCTGTCGATAATCGACTACTGAACGCTTCTTCAACAACGACTTGCTCACGAATCTCGCCTTCTCCGACTTCTTTATTGCTCTCAGATAACAACACAACATCCACGATGGCCCCTGTTGCTGCAGAGGATATTGTGCCGGACGCTGCTGAGCGACAGCAAACCCCTGACCCCTTCGACGCCGCCCGCCCATTCCTTGGCAAGGTCGCTCTCGTCACCGGATCCGGTCGTGGAATTGGCAAAGGCATCGCTCTTGAGCTTGGCAAGCGCGGCGCCAAAGTTGTCGTCAACTACGGCTCCTCCGCTGCGGCAGCCGAGCGGGTGGTTTCGGAACTTGCAGATGTCGGCACAAAGGCCATTGCCCTCCAAGCCAACATTAGCAAGCCTGCGGAGGTCATCGATCTCTTCGATCGTGCTATTGCTCACTTTGGCCGCATCGACTTCGTCATCTCCAACTCGGGCAAGGAGGTTTGGTGCCCGGAGACCGAGGTCACCCAGGAGCTGTTCAATGACATTTTCGACCTCAACTGCCGTGGCCAGTTTTTTGTCGCCCAGCAGGGTCTCAAACACTGCGCGCCCGGTGGCCGTATCATACTGACGTCGTCAGTTGCTGCTTCCATGGGCGGCATTCACAACCATGCCCTGTATGCCGGCTCCAAGGCTGCTGTCGAAGGGTTCACGCGCGCCTTTGCCGTCGACTGCGGCGAGAAGGGTGTGACTGTCAATGCCATCGCCCCCGGCGGCGTGAAGACAGACATGTATGATGAAAATGCTTGGCACTATGTCCCTGGCGGCTTTAAAGGCATGCCCATCGAGACTATCGACCAAGGCCTTGCCAACATGAACCCCCTGAAGAGAGTTGGTGTGCCCGCCGACATTGGTAGAGCCGTCTCTGCCCTGTGCAGTGAAGACTGCGAGTGGATCAACGGTAAGGTACCCCGGGCTTTCCTGCGGTTATTTGTGACTTACGTTCAGCAGGTCAAGTTATCAAGGTCACCGGCGGTGGCACCTGAGCCCGGCCATTTGGCCGCAGAGTATTCGGGCCCGTGTATGAAACTTCATAAACCATCGAGCGACCTGGCGGGACGGTTTCATGGCAATGCCGCTCGTGAGGCACGCCTCGCAAGATAGGTTCGGTACTATGCATATATCTTGGGATCATGGCCAGACTCATGGTTCATCAAGCCTTGAAGGGCAAGTTGTTGCGGGTAGCTTCTGCGCCGGCGCTCAGACAAATACACATTTTCGCAAAGAAATAATTTCATGGCGTTCAAGAAAACAAAAAGTGATTGAATGGACTGGATCACGAATGTAGAAGCAGTGATCTTAAACCGGGTGGGAGAAGATATAGGCTTGACAGGCTTGACAGGTATGGGAGAGGTGGATCGGTATCTTTTAAGTGCATATCTTTTTATAAGCATACTCGGGTCGAAATGACATAGGCGCAAAGTAAACTGTAGCTGCAGACACTGGAGCATCCACGTCGCGAAGCTCTAGGCATAGAATCTTCAACAGGTTTCGCAAGGCCCGAGAGCCTCCAAACACCACCAGTCCCCGAAACATTCTGCCTCAAAAATGCCCAGGTATGTCAATTGGAGCTAGTTTCGCCCGCGTCTCCCGCTTACCCCCCGAAGGAGCTGTTCTGCGCACTCCAAACCCGCATCATGAGGGCGCACCTAGCCCGCCATGTCTATCGACGTGCCCTGGTCGCCAGAGGCTGCACGCCGGCGAGCGCCCTACTCCTTGCACCATCTTCATCTCGTTCCTATCCGATAGTCGCTCCTCCAACCCGGCGAACAACCCGGAGAACCTTCTTCGGCATCTTTCAGAAAGCCCCGAGACAGATCAAAAAACCAGAGTACGAGCCAGGATGGACAGTCATCCTAACGTGGAGGAATCGATTGCTCGACAATGTACGCCCACCTACACGCAAAGAGCTGGTCGATGCCTTTAGAGAGCTTTTCACCTACAAGCAGCGGTTCCATGTCACAGTCAACAGCACGCAAGCCCGACACTGCCGGAACCTGTTGAAGTACCTGGTCGAGAATAAAGATGACGAGCCCGGCGAGGGCTTGTCACTGCTGGAGTTGACGGCTGCTCGCGATGCACTGCTCAAGGTTCCGAAGGAGGACACATCCGAACATCTAGAGTTCTGCAAAGCACTCTATGCCGAGATTACGAAAGAGAGGGAGCTGGAATACGAGTACGAAGACGCCCGGTCAACGGAGCTTGACGAGGCAAAGCCAGCTGTGGAAGACCTGAAGGCATACATGTGGGCGCTGACAACATACGGCGCATCCAAACAGGCGCATCTCGAGCTACGAACGCACTGGGCACAGCTTCGGGCAGCAGGCCAGTCAACACGGGATGCTAAAACCTTGTGGATCTACGTGTTCCGCGGCCTGGCAGCGGAAGGACGCGAAAAGGAACTACTCGAGGCCGCAGCAGAAGCCGAAAAGGAAGGTATGGAGTATACTCCACGGTTTCAGGAAGCCATGACTACTTTCTTCGCGACAAGAGACCGGGTCAAGGAGACTAAGAAGTGGTTCTCCAAACCCATAACTGGTAACAAACAGCCCAGGCACGAGACGTACAAAGAGATACTCAAGTTCTCCATCCGAAACAGTCAACATGCCTGGTGCGACCCGATCTTTCAACAGCTCGTTGACTCGAATCCGAGCAAAGAGCACTGGGACGTGGTGTATCAATGGGCGGTCCTGTCGATGTCCAAGGGACTGGATGATTTGCGGAGCATGTTCGACGTGGTCGCGAAACACAATCCGGATGACCCGTCTATTTTGCCCGATGTCCATACGATCAACGGCCTGATTGAAGCCGCATCCGAAAAGAACGACCCGTACCTAGCCGACAGACTGCTTGCGTTTTCCAGCGAATACGGCATCAAGCCAAATGCCATGACATTTGTACTGCAAATCGATTCTCGCATCAAGGCCAAGGACTTAGCCGCTGCAAGGGAAGCGTACAAGCAACTAGCGAGGACAGAGCTAGAAGGCGAAGAGGATCTCCCAGTAGTGAACCGATACCTACAGGCTCTGTGCGACTTGCCGCAGCCAGACCTCAAGGCTATTCGAGAGATATTGGATGTCCTAGAGCAACGCATTGTCACACTGGACCCCGACACCGTCGTTGCTCTGTGCACTGTCTATCTCAAATACGACCAACAGATGGACATTATCGACACACTCTCTCTCAACATCTTCCAGCACAGCACAGACCAGAGAAAGTCTGTACGAGACGCATTTGTTTCGTATTGTCTGGATCGCAAGAACAGTACAGCTAGGGTATGGGATGCGTACTCAATACTGCGACAATTTTTCCTAGAGACCAGCGTCAAAGATCGTCTCAAGCTTATGCAGGCTTTCTTTGACCGCAAGCGTCCTGACATGGCGGTTCACACCTTTGGCCACATGAGGCAACACGTGAACCGATCTTTTCATCCCTCAACAGAGGCGTACATTCAGTGCTTTGAAGGCCTCGGGGCGTGCGCCGACTCGGACTCGGAAGAGCACGTCAGTTTGGTCCACAACATGCTCAAGATGGACCTTGGCATGCAGCCCACAACGAAGTTGTATAATGCCCTTATGCTCGCTTATGCAGCCTGCGGGCGGCCGTCACGGGCTCTGGATTTCTGGAACGACATCATTCGCTCCGTCGAGGGGCCATCATACAACAGTCTGGAAATTGTCTTCTCGGTTTGCGAAAGGTTGCCCTATGGCGATCAGACCGCAAAGAAGATATGGAAGAAGATGGAGGCGCAGGAGGTAGACGTGCCGCCATCCGTCTTTGCGGCCTACTTAGGCGGCATTGCCGGTAACGGCAATGTGACCGCGGTGCAAGAGGCGATCAAAACGATGCAACAGACTGTTGGATATGGTCCGGATCTTCTCATGTGAGTCACAACCCCATGAAGAGATGTATTCTCGTAGACGCAAGCTGACCCCATCATAGACTGGGCGTGGCATATAACGCGCTGCCAGGCCAGGCGCTGCAGCGCAAGTTCGCGGAGTGGGCGAATGAAACACACCCCGAGGTGTGGGCGGAAGTGAAGAAGAAGCGTTACCAACGTGCCGCCAACGGTGTGACAAAGTACAAGCTACCACGTGTGCTGAGAGCATGACCATGTAACATTACATGTTTTAAAGATATCATTTGCATATGTGTACATATAGAGAGGGTAGATGCTACCCAAGGTGTTGTACAATTTGACACAAATTACAGAATGACCCCTCCCCCCGTGCCTGGTGTTTTCCATCTACTCCTACAACTTCCGCCCGCCCTGCAATCGCTTCATGATGATCTCAGGGTGGAAGTGGACACTAGGGTGAATGCCCATACCGATGACTCTGCGGATTGCCTTTGCCATCCTCCTCTGGTTTCGTGGACGCAGACCAGTGTCCCTTGAGTTCTTGATCTGACCAAAAGAGGTCATGTACTCCGAAATCATGGAGAAGTTCTAGTCATTGTCAGCCTTGCGGTTCTTTCTGCTGCCAATGGGGCTGAAGCAACAAACCTTGTACATGTCCAACGGGTTCAGCGACAGCAAATCCGTCACATCGCGCTTAGGAGCCGTCTTCTTCTTCCATCTAGCCAGTTGGTGAGGATTCATGTCGTGCGGCGCGTAGACATCGCCGGTTTTCCACTTTCGTGGCATCTGTTTCATATAGTCGTCGCTGGTCTTGCGCTCGCGCAGCTGCTGCAGCTCGAAACGCTTGCGAGCTAGCTGTGCCTCGCTCTGGGCGAACTTGCCGCCGCGAACGAGGTTCTGAACGCGTTCAGCATTGTTTCCGGGAGCAGGTCGCTCGTCGAGGGTGAGAATGTCGGAGGCGGAGTTGGGTTTGGATTCTAGAGAAGGGGGTTAGAACACGGGGTGTCCCGGAATGGTCCTCATCACGTACGGCTGAGGGCGGGTGTTGTGGAGAGAGGTCGTGCCAGACGACGGAGGAAGGCGGAAGGCGCGGTGACCGCAGGCAAGAAGGACAGTCTGGGAGGCATTGCGGCGGTCGTGGGTGGTGCAATTGAAGATGGCCGTCGGAGGTCAGAAGCCGAGTCGCGATGGTTCAAGCTCTCCAGGTGTTGTGTTTTTGGGACCCACATTAGTCCAATGGGCCCATTTGTTCTGTTCTGATAACGGTGGTTGAAGATGGTGATAAGGATTTTTCTGCATCCCACTTGCAGCCGCAGCAACTACCGCACCCAGTCTCACAAACGATACCGCCGCGAAACACGAACGCATACAAAGAACGCAGCTTCTCTGTAGCCGGGATCGACATATCAAATACCCGAGTGGCTGATCGTCTGATCAAACAGCCGCAAAAATGGGTCGCGCCCTCAAGCATCACGAATCGAAGCTTCTTCGCAAGGTCGACTTCATCACATACAAGCAGGACAACGACCATCGCGATGCGAACATTCGAAGGCGGTACATGATCCAGAAGCCGGAGGACTACCACAAATACAACAGGATATGCGGAGTTAGTTGTTCCTTGCTCTCGTTGGCCTCCTCAAAACACACATGCTAAGAGTTATCGTAGTCTATCCGCCAGCTTGCACACCGTCTTTCACTTCTGCCTCCCGAAAGCGCGGTCCGTCAGAAACACGAAAAACTCCTCCTCGACAAACTGTACGATATGGGTATTCTCTCCACAACAAGCAAGCTCTCCGCCGTGGAGAACGGCGCAACAGTCTCCGCCCTCGCCAGGCGGCGCATCCCCGTCGTAATGACGAGGCTACACATGGCTCCCACAGTCCAAGCTGCCACAAAGGTGAGCTTCAAGACTCTAACCGCTTTGAAAGAAAAAGAGGTCATGTTAACATCCGCAGCTTATCGAGCAGGGCCACGTTCGAGTCGGCACCGAGACAATCACAGACCCGGCTTTCTTCGTGACGAGAAACATGGAGGATCTGGTCACATGGACCGCAGGCAGCAAGATTAAGAGGAACATCATGAAGTACAGGGACAAGCTGGATGATTTTGAGCTGCTATAAGAGGGCCGTGTGTGTTTGGGGTGGGTAGCGGAAGATGATAAGAAGCTTATCCCAAGGGGCAAAGAGGTGCCCCAATGGGATCTGACCAGTACAACAGACCCAGTTCACTTGAATATCCGAATGCAACAGAGAATCATCAGTACCTTGCTTCCATTTCAAGAGTACATTGGACTGATGTTGCACGTCACCCGTGTATTCATTTGTCATGAAGGCGGAAGGACCCAGCAGGGCACTTGACTGTATGCATGTAACCGGTAATTGACGATATTGCACCACTCTATCCAGTATGGTAGCCGATCTCGGTGGACTTTCAACCCATGGACATCTGTAATTCATTTCACTTTACGCTCTGTCATAACTCACGATCCTTTTCATGTTTGTTGTTTGCTGCAAAGAAGGCTTATCCCGAAACCAAAGTTTCGTCAAAGCATGGTGTGTTGCCGTAACAGCTTGAACGAGTGGTAACGTCATTGACCCCGGTACGCATCCCTCTCATTCGAGGATCGCGGAATTGTCACGATGACCGCCGAGGTCAACAATGAGAAGGGTCCCGCCTTCAAGAACTACAAAGGCTTTGTGGCTGGTGTCTTCTCAGGCGTTGCAAAGCTAACCGGTCAGTATTTCGGTCCTGTAATGATAGCCTATTGATTAATGAGTGGCATAGTCGGGCATCCCTTTGACACTATCAAAGTCCGGCTTCAAACAACAGACGCCAGCCGCTTCGCGGGGCCTCTCCAATGCGTCGCTCAGACCATCCGAAATGAAGGAGTTCTCGCCCTCTACAAGGGCGCCTCGCCGCCGCTTGTCGGCTGGATGTTCATGGACTCGGTCATGCTGGGTTCCCTGACCGTCTACCGGCGCCTGCTTTCTGAGAATGTCTTCCACGTCTCCGATTTCCATCCAGGCGCGCCACTCAACTCTGGCAAGAGCACGCTGCCTTGGTACGGCCACGGGATGGCCGGGATCATGGCCGGCGCGACCGTCAGCTTCATCGCTGCGCCTGTGGAGCACGTCAAGGCGCGCCTGCAGATTCAGTATGCCGCCGACAAAGCTGGCCGGTTGTATAGCGGACCTATTGACTGCATTCGGAAAATTTGGAACATTCACGGCATCAAGGGCATCTATCACGGTCTTGGATCGACACTGCTATTCCGCGGCTTCTTCTTCTGCTGGTGGGGCAGCTACGATGTTTTCTCGAGACTCCTGCGGGAGAAAACATCGCTGAGTGCACCAGCAGTCAACTTCTGGGCCGGTGGGTTGAGCGCGCAAGTGTTCTGGCTGACGAGCTACCCGTCGGACGTCGTGAAGCAGAGGATCATGACAGATCCGCTCGGGGGGGGACTGGGTGACGGCGTGAGGCGATTTCCGCGCTGGCGAGATGCTGCAACTGCAGTGTGGAAGGAATCCGGATGGCGAGGGTTTTGGCGCGGTTTCTTGCCCTGCTTCTTGAGAGCCTTCCCGGCGAATGCCGTGGCGCTCGTCGCGTTCGAGGGTGTTATGCGATCGTTGCCATGATTCCAAAACTGTTGGAAACGAGTCTGGCACAGGGAAATGTACCATCAGGCGATAGGATAGGGGCTGGCTGTTTTTACACAGCAGGCAGTGTGACGCGACAAAGGATACCCCTCAAACACACATGTCATTTCGAGATCAAAAAAAAAAGAATTGTTTGGTCACAAGAATTGGCAGGTCAAGCGCACGCGAAGGTGCTAGCTTTTGATTTGGTTTTTAAAGGTATCCTGCCGCACCTCATGCTCGCCCCTCCAAGCACTCTTTTTTCCCTGACTGTTGTCCGAAGAATCATGAAGCGCATTTCGTCGTGAACATTTACTCGTCATCGTCCTCAGCCTCGTCGTTGACGACGTTGTAGAACTTGAGCGTGTAGACACCCTTGGAGGTGGCAACGACGCGGAGCCAGTCACGAAGCTGCTGCTTCTTGAGGAACTTCTTGGTCCTGTGCAAGGCAGTTTGTCAGCGCGCTTGTTAGGCAACATGAATTGTTCCTCTGTAAATACGTACAGGTACTTGAGGTAGCGGCCAGAGAGGTCGTTGTGGGAGACAATCTCGACCTTGCCGTCGGCAGAGGAAGAGATGGTAATGTTGTCTCCGAGGTTGTTGACACGGCCCTCAACCTTGATGCGGTCCTGGAGGAACTTCTCGAAGGCAGCGACATCGAAGATCTTGTCGTTGGCGGGCTGAGAAGCATCAATGATGAACTTCTTGGTGGACTTGGGACCCTTGGTGCCCTTCTTGGTCGCCTACGGAAAACATGATCTTAGCCTACTGTTTCACGCCATGGTCTCGGGAGAGAGACTGGGCCAACAGCAAAGCGATGGTTCATGTACATACTGCTTGAGGAGCCATTTTGATGGATTTGAGGGGGGGAATGAGTACGCAAAGAGGTAAGAATCCTGCGTATGGGTCGAGTGTCGTGGGATGATCAAGACTTCTTGAATGCGGGATCGCGGGACAAAAATTCGTGTGGGATTGGGAAAATGCCCAAAAAGTTCGACAGGGGGGGACTCCACCAATCAGGGCTTCGTGGTTTTGCCGCATCGCCGACTGACCGAGAATGTGGCCCCTCCATAGCTCGGTGTATTCGGTAACCCGGGCGAGAGCGCTGGAACGAGCACCCCGCCTCATAAGGCTGCGCTAAATCCTGGCTGTTTTGGCCCCCACGATCGCCCGACTTCGAACCATGTACAAAACACGATCTCTGTCGGGGCTCAATCCTTCACCCGCTCTGCTGGGACGGGATGAGGTGTTTCTCCGCCAAGTGCTTCTGTCATGATCGCCTCTGACAGTGAATTGATGCCTCGGCTAAGTGTGTATCTCGTTTCGACTGAACGGGTTCACAGCTCGGACAAGCATCAACGCCGAGCTGTTGATGTCCATAAAGGCGGGCCCCGGAGCTTGAGTTCAGACATCGGCATTGTGTTCTTCTTTGGGCAAGAGCGTCATTGCCTTGGACCGCGACCCTTGGACATGGCACTTTTCTAGCGCTCCAACCCTGCAGCAACGCGACGGAACGTGTGTGAAGTCGTGCGACCAGGATTTCCGAGAGTGGGCACCAATCACTTGATAGCACATCACTGAGTGCTTTAGGGACGCATTGTCAATCGGCTGACCGAGGCCGAATTCGGATAATCTGGAGTCATCCCCAGCGCTTCCGGTTGGTTTCAACCTGCCAACGAACGTTCCCCGCGATATCTGGCATGCCACGAGGACCATCGGCGAGGCCGAGAAGTCAGTGAACGAGCGTTGAAATGTGGCAGGCTTTGGCGTCCTTAGTCGAACCTTGACTCGCCTTCCTATCGAGGAAGCGCGGCAGTTCATTTCATTGCCGCAGTGACGATGTCATTTGCAGCTGGCCATGTTGCAGCTGGCCAGAACATGGCCCGTGGCCCTGGGGTCGGCGCGCCCTAGCGGCTTCCTTCCCGCAGCAGCACCATCAGCGAGCCTGGCTCGTCGATGCCTCTCGGGCTAGGTGTGTGAAGGATTGGACGCCTGGTTGTCTTCGAGTCAGCTCTTCTGTAGAGAGACCGTTGCATCGGCATCAGCCCAAAAGCTTGGGACCAAGTGCCGGAAGGTCTGCTGTCTGGATCATCTCAGGCACACGCCACTCCGACAAGGCATGATGTCCGAAAAGAGTTGGACAGCGAATCGTGCCACTCACAGCTGCCCGACGCCTTGGGCCCCTCCCTGGTTGACACCCTCATGCAAGTCAGCAGAGTGGCTCTAGGCTGCGGGCTTTCGCCGCGGCGACGATCTCGAAGGCGGCATTGTGTCGAAGTGAGCAGGCTCCGGTCACATGCTTATTGGCTCAGTGTTCCATTGAGGGCTCTACAAACCTTGCTTCATCATGACGGTCATGGCTGCCCACACACCCACCATGCTTTTGAGAATCGCCAGGCGACCAGTGAGCACGTTTCCGTACTTATGATTATTTGAGTCCCGGCTGCTCCAACAAACTGTGTCGCAGCCACTGCTTGGTGTACTCGATTGCCTCTTGATCAGTCATCTTTGTAATGGTGTGAACACGACCCCTCAAGAGAAGCCCGGTTCGGACCCTGGCTAGCAACAATCGTTTCAAAGGGTCGGGCGTGGCACGAAAGAACGAGAACACACATCAAATCGAACTGCTGATTCCAAGCAAAGCGTAAACTTCCCAGCCTGCAAGACTGAAACCCTCGTTCCCTACTCTGAAGCCATGATGCGTATTGCCATTGCCGGGGCCGGCTGGTTGTCCAGCCTGCTCACTCTTCACATTTCACAAACAGGCAACCCCGTTCTCATACTGTCGAGAAGTGTAAAGTCCCTCCCGGGCGAGCTCCTACACATCCTTTGAAATGCAGACGCTAACCATAGCATAGGCGCGACCAGACTTTGAGGTCGACTTCGATTGCCAAGTTGCCGTGGTTGATTATGACGACGCAACTGCTATCCAGTTCGCTCTCCAGGGCGTAGATCTCGTCATTAGCACTTTTCGCGGCCCCGCACAAATCAACCTCATCCACGCCGCACGACGAGCCGGCGTTCGCCATTTTGTACCGGCAGAATTCGAAGGTGGACTCGCTCATAGATCAACGACAGACGACCCCTTGGACTATGGATCCTCAGAAGCACTGGACCTTCTCCGAACGTATGCCGGGGCGAAGTCTCGGAACTTCCAGTGGACGGTGTTCTCTTGCGGAGTTTTCTATGAGCGGTTCGGCCCTGGAGGTCTTGGAGCGTACGGCATGGGCGCATCGAGCAACCTAGCAAACCAGGGCGATTACCTCGTCGATGTCGGAGCGGGGACAGCAGACATTGTTGAGACAAATTCCTCCGGCCGGCCCGTCCAAGTGTGTATGACCAGCATGGACGACTTGGCTCGTTTCGTTGCCGCAGCCATTGAGCTTGGTCTGGCATCCTGGCCCAGAGAGTTCAAGGTGCGAGGTGACCGCTTGTCGACTCGTGATATTTTTGCGGCCTGCAGCTACGTTCTCGGAGGTACGACGACCCTATTGATTCTGACAATGGAGGCCGGAGCTAATGTTTTCCTCGCAGGCGGACTCAGCCTTCGCACCCGCAAACACTCGAGGCTTGAGCAGGAGCAGGCCCAGTGTGCGTCGTCCCAGGACTGGACGCAGTGGCACTATATTCAACAATTACGCGCGACCGCTGACAGGCGATACGACTTTGGACACGCAAACCTTAACGACGTGATCGCGCGTGCTGATCCCAGTATCCAGCCCGTGGGATTTCGTACATGGCTGACGACACAGTGGGCACCAGACACCTAAGGATTGTCCAAAGATTGCCGTTCTATTGGAGAGAAAGAGATTGTGAATGTTTGGCGCTTCGTCTTAATGATACCTTTTCCTTCCCCTTGAGCTTCAATTCTCTGATGCGTGCGCCCTAGAACCACCGCGAGATTCAATCGTCTCTTGTCGGGCCATTGAACCGGCTCGCAGACCCGATTTACCCTCAGTCGTATCACACCCACCCACGTTCCTCTCTGCTATGTGTTGGACCTTGCCGATGAAGCAGCCTGATACTGGGCCCAGTGGCGGAGGTGTCGTCACAACCATTTGATTTACCCTGGCGAAGCATGGGTGTGAGCCACACCTTATTTCGTCTGATGTGACGTGCTCACTCCTGTCGATCAGATTGCCTGTATCCTTTGCTAGGGCAGCCAGCACGGCCGGCTAGGTTGAGCCCCCAACGACCATCTAATTTCCTGCTGTATCTTGGCATGTCCAAACAACACATGTACCCAATGAGCGATAGCCGAGAGCCCAAAAGTTTGAGTTGATACGCAGTCATGCACACAGTGCCTTACCTACCCGAACAATGAGCCCGGATACGAGATCGAGGAGTCTTTCAAAGTCAAGCTTATCTGTTGAGAGTGCGCAGTTTGCTTACCACCTCCCTGATTTGATAATACAAGTGCAATAATGTTGGTCGCCCCGACTTCGGCAGGACGAGCCCTTTGGGCCTCATGGCTCTGCCTTGCCCTTCCCCGGGTCTGCCTCGATCTCCAAGCCACGACCCTGGATACCCCCTGGCTCATCTCCTAATTCGTCTCCATCCTCCGTCACGATCCACAAGCAGAACTCCTCCCACGCCGTAGCCCACTGCTTCAGCCTCTGCGCCTTGATGCCGCGCCCCAGACTGGCCTCCCGCACTCCGGCGCCCCAGGCCTTGGCGTCTTCGTCCTCGAACGCCGCCCATCGAACCCCGTTCTCCGCAAGTGCGCCCAAGCCCTCGAGCCCGAGGCCGCCCCAGCCCTGCAGCAGCTTCCAGTAGTCGTGAGACGGCCCGATCGCGCCGGCGCCCCCCAGCGCAGCAGGACAGTCGCTTCCCAGCGAGCACGGCACGCCCCGTGCGATGAGCGCCGGTAGCGGGTTCGTCCTGTCGAGTCCGGAGAGGCGTAGGAGTTCGCTGCTGAAGGGACTGGTCTCGATCAGGATACGCTTCTCCTTGACGAGGTCGACGAGGAGGGGGTGTCGGTGCAGCTCCTGGGCGCTGCCGAGACGGCGGGTTCCCAGCAGTATAGCGTTGTAGAGGTCCTCGTCAGCCAGTATCCCGCCGGCGGCTAGAACTTCGCCAGCGTGGAACAAGAAGGGGACCTCGACGCGCTCCTGGGCGCACTGCTTCTTGAACCAGAAGAGCTCCGGCAGTAGGTCCTTGATGGAGCGGCCGGCGTCCTCGCGGCGGCCGCAGACGTCGTAGCCGGCAATGAGGGACGGGTACGTAAGCTTGGTCGTGAGGCAGTTGTCCATGTCTTGAATCAGGGCGCGCCTCGGGAGGGCCCGATTGGACGTCCAGATGAGACGAAGGCCCCAGAAGGAGGCGTGAGAGGCTTCGGACTTGAATCTAGCGAGCTCTTCGTCGATGACGTGGTACATGTGGTCATAATCAGTCTCGGGCGCCTCACGGCTTTGGCGGCAGTAGCCGAGCCCCAGAGTGACGCTGCAGACCGTGTCAGATGGATGCTCTGCGCGGCAGCAGCAGAAGCAGCAGCCCCAGAACGTGAACTTACCGTAGCTCGATCCAATTGACGTTTTCAGCGTGAAGAGTGCTCATTAGATGACGTAGGAAGGCGCGAAATATGGGCTCGTACGACAGGATGCTTTCCGTGATCTCGAAGCACCGTCCCAAGCGTTTCCAGATGACTTGGTGGCTGGCGTGTTGTTCCACGGACCCCTTCGATATGACACATTGCGTCCTGAGCCAGTTTCTGAACGCAAACTCTCCGCCGTCATTGAACTCGTTCGCCGCCTTCTTGAGACCCCTCCAGGTACCGGGGACGTAGCCGCTGGTCCAGACTGACGCCTCGCTCGTCTCGGTTTGGCGAAAGCCAAACTTCACGGTCGCGCCCTCCAGCGCCGTGCTAGAATCCAACGGTGCGTCGGCCGAGATGTGCATTCCCGGAGTTTTGAACAATACGTCCAGGAGCCAGTCGATATCGACCATGCTACTCAGGTTCGCGTTCAACACGCCTCCCTTCGGCAACCGCCGTATGATCCGCCACAAGTCTGTCGTCTCGAGCAACGGCTTCGCCAAGACAAACGGCGTTCCCAGAGCTTGCTGACCGGTCCACACCGTCTCATTTTCTCTCTCGCGGATCTTGGTGACGATGGCAGCGGCACGGCGAGCGAGCGGAGAGAGCGAGTTACGGAAGCCCGTGTCGGCGCGGAGGGCGAATTCCTGGTCCTGAAGGCGGACGCTGCCGGCGATGAACTGCCGGAGGAACGGTTCATTTGGTGAAGGAATCTCCTGGGCTAGTTGAGCGTAGTCTTCGTCTGAGAGGGACATGTTGAGGGTTTGCAGGCAGCAGGCTGATGGTGTCGACGGGAGCTCGTTGGATGACGATGACACAAAGTTGAGTCGCGGGGGGTGCTGCTATCGGGCCAGGATCACTGACTTCCACGGGGACTCTTCCGAACTAATCCCAGGAAAGAAGACCAATTCAATCTGCCGATTGCATAAGATTATATCTGACCGATATACTCCTGCATGTGTGGGATGAGATGAGATGCTAGTGTCTCACCTCTTGGAGACCAGTGACGTCGGATGGTGGGGTGGTGTTCACACCGAGGACCTCGGTCTATCCGCCACATTTCGGTGTAGGCCTCGGTGAACCCCCCTATTCCAGTCTCCCTTATCTAGGTACCTAGGTAGGAAACCAGCAAAGTCAAAATTTTCTTGCATTGCCACGCATTGTCTGGCATTCACAATCTCCAAGCCACTATGTAACCTAAATCAGGCCTGAAGCTGCAGGTCTTCTCTGTTGGCGTGGCTGCCGCCTCTCCATCCCGCTCGAGGATCAGTCTTGCTCTGAAGGCCCTTTTCCTTCCCAGGAGCGCCCCATCCACCACCTCCAGGGGTATTGACGATGATGCGATCACCAGGCTTCATCGGCGCGCTGTTCTTCGCACCGAGATTGAACCTCCTCTCCTCGTATTCCACCTGTTCTCCATTCTCTTTCTTGTCATCAGTTCCCTCTTGCAGCCTCTTCAGCGACTTCTCCCAGCTCCCTTTCTCGACCTGCCGGACCCAAATGTTCTGTCCCGACTGGCCATCCTCGCCGCCCGCGAGACCGTACGGTCGGTACACTCTTCTCTCACTGAGAATAGAGACTTGTACGGGAATGCGGAATTCAATGTCCCCTGATCACGCCGTCTCCGCCATTGTGCTGGCCCCTGCCGCCAGAGCCTTTACGGAGCGAGAACTCCCGCAGCAGCACCGGATATCGCCTCTCGAAAACTTCAGAGTCAGTGATGCGCGTGTTGGTCATGTGCGTGTGTACACCGCTGGTGCCCTCCCATGTGGACCCTGCGCCACTGCCACCTGCGATTGTCTCGTAGTAGCCGAAGCCCTTGACGACCTTGTCCTCGCCGCCGACGTTTCCGCCAAAGCCAAAGGTCAAGTTGTTGCAGTCGCCCTGACTGGCGGCGCACGCCTGGAAGGCCTTGAAAATGACATCTGTGACCCGCTGGCTCGTAAGGACGTTGCCTCCCACCACAGCCGCCTTGTCCGACGGTGAAAGCAGGGAGTGCGGTGGGATCTTCACCGTGATGGGCTTGAGGCAGCCCTGATTCAGGGGTATGTCTTCCGAGATCAGGCATCGCAGACAATAAATAATGGCGCTGTAGCTCACTGCCTCTGGCGCGTTGATGTTGCCATAGACCTCTGGGCCTGTGCCTCCAAAGTCAAAGACGGCTTCGCCCTTGTCAGCGTCGATTGTAATTTTCAGCTGGATAGGGCTGCCGTCGTCCATAAAGTCGATGGCTTGTAAGGCTGCACCCTCAAACCGCTTGCTGACCTCCTTGAGTAGGTTCCGGACGCATAGCTCAGCGTTGTTCTGAATGTGTACCATGTAGAACTGGACCGTCTCTTCGCCATACTCATCGATCAGACCCTCAATCAGAGAGATTCCCTTCTGGTTCGCCGAGACTTGTGCGCGGAGGTCGTTAATGTTGTCCGCCAGGCAGCGTGTTCCGCTGCATCCTGGGTATTGAGCCGGCTCGTCGTAGAGCAGCTCAGTCACACGCTTTTCGTCAAAACGCCCTTCACTGACGAGCTTTTCGCTCTTGATAGCTGCACCTTCCTGAAACAGCTCGCGCGAATGAGGCGGCATGCTGCCGGCTGTGATGCCACCAATATCAGCGTGGTGGGCTCTGGAGGCGGCGTAAAACAGAATCTTGTCGCCCGCGTCGTTGAAAGCGGGCATGACCAGCGTAATGTCTGGGAGATGTGTTCCGCCATATGAAGGGTGGTTCGAAATGATCACGTCCCCCTTCTTCAGGCGACCTTGCCAGATCTCGGCTTGCCTCCTGACGCACGTTGACATGGATCCTAGATGGACAGGCAAATGGGGCGCATTTGCAACCAAGCCTCCTTTGGCGTCAAAGATGGCGCAGGAAAAGTCAAGTCGTTCTTTAACATTAGTGCTGACACTTGTCTTCTGTAGCGCGCGGCCCATTTGCTCAGCAATGGCCATAAATCTGTGGCCAAAGATGCTGAGCATGATGGGGTCAACTTCTCGGTCGCCCTTCTCCTGGTGAGGCCTGCGAAGACGTTAGCGAGTGGATGAAAAGGTCACAGGCGGCCATCATACCCATCCTTAGAAGCCCCCTTATCAAGATCGATGACCACATGGGTGTCAAGGATATAAGCGGTAGCCCCAGGTGTCACCACGATAGTTTGCGTACCATCTGCTAGCACGGCCGGGCCTTGGAGGACATGTCCCGTGTTGAGGTTTTCAAGCTTATACACGGGAGTTTGTTGGCGACCACCCTCGTAGTACACCTGCTGGCGATCGTGAACCTTGGTGTCGTCGACATCCTGGCGGGTCAGGGTCTTCAGTTGTTGGTCGACTGATTTCTCGTGGTGGCGAGAGCTCTTGCCGATGCCCCGCACGCGAACGTCATCTACAATCATGTCGCGATCGTCAAGAGTAAAACCAAACTCGTACCGATGCTGTTTGACAAAGGCACTGCCAAAGTCCCACGCACGTCCCTCAAAATCTCTCTCGGCCTCTTCGGCACTCGGTTTCACAATCATGAGGGCGGACTCGGTCCCTCGATATCGTATGTTGAGGTACTCCTCGAATACAATATCGTCCCCTTCGAAACCCTGGTCCTCGAGAGCTTTCCGGGACCGGTCCTTGAGCTTCTCCATCTTGCTCTTCAGTTCGTCGACAGTCTTTCCAGGGTATGCCCAGACCTTTGATTCTGGTTCCTGGCGTTCATCGACGACATCGGCAAGGGCCATGCCGTAAGCCGACAGCACGGATGAGTACCGATGGACCAGAATCTGCTTGATGCCCAGAGCATCGGCAATCGCGACGGCATGCTGCCCGCCGGCGCCGCCGAAAGTGGCCAGGCGATGCTTGGACGAGTCGTGGCCCTTGGCCTCGGTAATCGACCGAATGGGTCTCGTCATGGTCTCGTTGGCCACGGTGAGGAATCCGTACGCAACCTCGTCCACCGTCATAGTCTTGCCAGTCTCGCTGTTGACCTGATCGGTCAGCTCCTGCAGGACCCTTTGGCTAGCTTCAGGGTCCAGTCCCTGGTCCTCGTTCTTCCCAAAGATCTTGGGGAAGAACTCTGGCAAAAGTCGACCGAGGTAGAGGTTTGCATCCGTCACCGTCGCCGGGCCTCCTTTTCGGTAGCACGCCGGGCCGGGATGCGCTCCAGCCGACTCGGGGCCCACGACAAACAGTCCGTTCTTCCAGAACAGTCTCGACCCGCCACCAGCAGCGACCGTGTTGATGTCGAGCTGAGGCGATTGGATGGTCACACCCGCCGTGGTCGTCTCGAAAACGTGCTCGTAGCGCCCTTCGCCGTAGCGGGAGACATCCGTGCTGGTGCCACCCATATCGAAGCCGATCACGGGAATCTTCGTCTCTTCGTCATAAGAGGTGACAGCATAGCCAACAACGCCGCCAGCAGGGCCCGACAAGATGGCCTTGAGGCCAGTGAACTTTTCGACGTCCACTAGCCCACCATCGCTCTGCATAAACTCGCACCGGGCTCCCTTGCTGCCCTCTTCTTGCTGAACGCTCCTCGTGCCGAGGCCGCCCTCGAAGCCGGACTGGAAGCCAGATATGTACTTCTTGATGGCCGGCGTCAGGTAGGCATCGGCACAGACCGACGTGGCTCTCGACACGAGCTTGATCATGGGCATGAGCTCGTGACTCAGCGACACGTGCTCAAAACCAATGTCCCTCGCCAGCCTGCCGACCGTGGCCTCGTGGTCGGGAAAGGTGTAGCCGTGCATGAAGCAGACGGCCACGCTCCGGATCCCCTTGTCAAAGACCTGCTGAAGCTGGCTCCTGATGCCATCTTCCGCCGGCCGCCGGAGGATACGGACCGCCTCGCCAGACGTGCCCTGCACCAGCTCGGCGTCCGCCGCCCCCTTGGTCCCAGCCGTGACGTCAACCTTTGTGACCGTCCTCTCGGGATCCTCCGCATAGTCCTCCAGCGTCACGCGCTCGTCGACTTCGACAACCTCTTCATAGAGCACATCGGGCTTCCGTATGGCCAGGTCGAAAATCTTGGGTCTGCTCTGGTTTCCAATGGCCAGACAGTCGCGGAACCCCTTGGTGACAACAAGGGCGATTCGCTCGCCCTTGCGCTCGAGGAGGGCGTTCGTAGCGACCGTCGTGCCCATGCGGATGGAGTCTATGCGGCTCGTGTCAAGGGCGGCCCCGCGCGGGATCTCACGCTCCAGAAAGTGCGACATGATGCGGCGGATTCCCTCGAGCGGGGCGTCGGCGTAGTTGGCCGGGTCCTCGGAGAGCAGCTTGATGATGATCTCGCGGCCGTCCAGCTCGCCGACGCAGTCTGTGAAGGTGCCGCCGCGGTCAATGGCGATGCGGACCCCGCGGGACCGCAGCGTGGTTTCGCCCATGATCGGCAATGGTGGGTAGGTTCAGACGCAAGCCAGCGAGGCTCGTTTGGATCAATCGGGATGTAGTGGTGCTCTGGTCTTGGGAACAAACAAGTTGCCGGTTGTGACGTGCCTTGGGAACGTTAATGTATCGTGATTATGGCCAGCCTTTTGACCATGTCGAAACAAATGTGAAGCAATTACAAATCCAGGTATTGGCAATACCAATGTCATCACACAGGCAAGGCAGTCGCCGAGGCCGTCACCGGAGAGGGGCGCAAGTGAGCTCTTATCAGCAGCGTGCTCCCTTATCTGACAGCGTGATCAGTACCCCGCCACAGTGCCTACCTAGGTACCTGGGTACCTGGCTTTCATTCGAACACGGACAGCAGCTTCATCAATACCGCGAACATCAAAAGCTCAGCATTCATCTCCATGGCCATGGTGCTCTGTAATTAATAGAGAGCTCGGTCCACAAACGTGTCATGCTAAAGCAAGGATGTATTAAACATGGTCGCTGTGCGAGAAAAAGAAAACCAGTGTATCGTCTAGCAACCTTGCTTCATTGCCTCATCCTGGCAGACCTGTTTCCCCCCGAAATCCGTTCCATCGCCTATTAATAAATACTACAAGTCGCCGTACTATACAGCCCCTAGTCGTACACATCAAGAAATTCATATCGTAGCATTACGCATGCGTCCGCTCAATGCGTCACGACCCTGACGGCCTGGAGCAGAATGCCAAACATCAGGCCCCGCGCTACCTCCTCCAGCTGGAGGCAGTCAAAGATGCGTCCCAGCGCGTCCGTCGTGGCGGCTTGGCCCATGACACCCGTGAGAGCAGCCGGCACGCCGCGCTCAATGAGCATCCTCCGCGCCTTGATCCGCAGCTTCTCCTTCTCCTCGGTTGTCATCTCAGCCGGCCAGCTTGCGCGCTCCTCCTCCGTCGGCATCGTGTTCTCGCGCATCTTGCGCAGGTGATGCGCCAATCCCGCGTCGCTCGTGTTGGCCTCGATCACCGACTCCTGCATCATTTTCTGGATCGACAGAAGAGACGGGTTGCCGGGCCGCAGGAGGAACGATTTGGCCGCCGCCAGCAGCGTGCGCCGAATGTTCCATGCCGAGGAGAGCGTGTACATCTCGTTGATAACCGCGAACACGAGCTCCACCGCGACATGTGTCTCCTGCTCCGACAGCTGCGCGTATTGCCGAACGGGTTTTGGCGCCGTGACCGTCGCCGCCGCTGCTGCTGCCGAGGGCGTAGTGGGGCTGGTAACGGACGCTTTCTGCGTGTGCGTCTGGGCCAGCGGGGACGTGACGCTGGTGGACGAGTTTTCCCTCGTGAGGCACAGCTCACGAGCCTTGAGGTGCGTTTCGCCATTGCTCGGAATAGACTGGAACGCTTGCTGTTCGTCAGCTGGCGTGGGGAACTTCATGCCGTCGAGGCTCAACGTCGATGGCGACCGCAGAGGCGATCGCAGCGCTGCCAAGCTCGATGCGCGGCTGTGCTCGCGGCTGCCGCTCAGCGCACTCGGTACGCCCCTCTCCCACCGATCGACCCTAGGCTTCAGGCCCTCGGCTTCCGACTCGCCTCGTGAGTCGTAGCTGGGTCTCCTCTCCATGGGTGCTATCATGCCGGGCTGTACCGAGACAATGGATGACCGCTGGCTGTCGAGGCTGTCTCTCGTCTTGCGGGGCGCCCCGGGCGACATGACCTGGCTGTTGAGGCTGGTTGTGCTTTCCATGCGCGGCGCGGAGCCCAGCGACAGACGTTTTGGCTGCACCTGGACTTCGCTGATGGAGGCGTTCGTCTGCCTCCGCGGCCCCAGGCCGATCGTGTTGAAAACTCCGGTAACGCCACCAAAAACAGCTTTGCCTCCTTCCATCGCACCCTTGGACCCTAGCGAGAGCACATCTGTCATGTTCTTACTGAACGCATCCCAGCCGAGGACCCCGCCTTTTGACTCGCCACGAGAGTGTCCGTTTTCCTTCTCGAGGAACCGCTTCATGCCCTCGCTTTCGGCCAAAGGTTGGTACCAGCACGCGTCCCGTACGTAGCGCTCGAGCTCGCCTCGCAGAGACGACCTCGAGTGCAACTTCCAGTTGGGAAGCGTTGTGTGCTGTTCCGTGAAAGCTGTCGCTCCCGAGATTGTGGCTATGCGTCGCAGAATCTCGTGCAACGTTTCAAAATCAGAATACTTGCGCACAATCATCCAGCCGGCATAGTGGGAAGACGCAGGCTCTATCTGCACGAGGTAGTCCCAGGTCGGCTTGCTCCGAATGCGGGCATTGTCAGTGGGCGCATCATCGTGCAGGACAATATTGGCATTGTGCAGGGTCAGGAGAGGTTTGCGAGGGCCCTCGCCCGGCGCCTCTGGCTCGTCCTTGGCGGGTGGCACAATCTGGTCAAACGTAGTGAACTGGCCATTTGTGTCATTCTCCGGCTGTTTCGGGGACGACTCCCGGCTTGACATGTCGGCGGTGGATCGAGGTGTGATGGGTGACTGCAGACTCTCGCGCTTGCTCGAACTGTCGACCGATGGCTTATCCATGGATGTTTCTGAGCGTGGGGAGATCTCTCCCGAAGTAGAGCTGGGTCCTTGGCCATTGGTTTCGTTTGATGCTCTGCCTTCGCCAGCCTGGGCAGGCTTCTCGGATTTAGCGACCGTCGCGTTGGTTTCTTTTTGAGATTGGCATTCCGCCTGGGCTAGCAGTGCGTTCATGCGCTTCATTTCTTCCATTGCCTCTTCCATTTCCTCGTCTGCTTTGCTCAGTTTCTTCCTGTGCATAGACTCCTTGCGTCTAAACTTTTCGAGGTCAAACGAGTTGCGGTTGCCCTTGGCTAGCGAGATGTTGCCGACATTGCCGTCAAAGTCCGCAAAGAGGTTGTTGTTCATAGTGTTAGCATCCGGGCCGGTCTGCATGCCGACGTCAATGGCCTGACTGAAGTCGGGCTCGCCAGCCTCAAGCAGGTACACGATCCAGCCATTGATCCATTCCGGCTTGGAACACGTCTGTAATGATGTTTCCAAAACGACACCTGCGAGGATCTCCCGGAGAAAAACGCGTGCAGGGTCGCATTTATGTGTTTGTCGGTCGAGGTATTGGAGCAGATCTTCGGCGACCATGCGAAACTTGGTCGCCTGCTGCGTTTGGCTGAGGAGGCTGGAAAGACTCGAGTCGGGGTTTTCGGCGAGGTACTCATAGATTGCATCTGCTGCAGTCACATTGGATTCGGCTGATACATCGGCAAAGGCGGCGGAGAGTTCGGAGAGAAAAACAATGGCGATGGAGCTTGTGTTGGTCAGGAAGTCGAGGAAAGAGTCGGCTGGACGCTTGCGGTACAAAGCATTTGAGACGGAGAGGAGAAATGAGTTGAGGACCTTTCTGCAGGCCAAGGGAAAGGACGAGTCGCCTGGAAGGATAGGGGAGTACCACCATTTGATGTAGTCCCGCACGACGGCGTCGACAAAGCTGGACAAGGCCTCACGGGTCTCCGGCTTGAAATCGTCAAATGTGTTGATGAGGCGTTCCTCCTCCGCCTCCTTGATTCCCTCCGTCTTTGACTCGGGGGCCTTCTCGAGTCCCAGCCTTTGCAGAACCTCCACACCTCTTTCGCCGCGAACAGCTCGAGAGATTTCGGGGTGGCGTGCTTCGTAGGAGATGAACAGGACTACGCCGCCAAAGGCGCCAATAAGCACAAGCCCGAGCTTGCCCAATGCGAGATATGTGGCTGCGGCCAACCCAAGACCAACACCAGTGAGTGTCTCTGGAGTAGCTGTCGAAAGGAACTTCAGTGTCTTCGCAAGAAGGTCGTCGTCGGAGGCGCCGGAATGGTCGGGAGCGGTGGTGGGGGAAGGAGGGGTTGGCGAGGTCGAGTCTGGTGCTGCAGTCTTCATCTTTTCGACTGATGCGACTGGAGATTCTGCAGCGGGTGCAGCTTTCGTGTCTTGGGCAAGTCGCGCACCAAGGGGGGCTTCGTCTGGGTTGGAGTTCATGGCGAAGGTGTTGTTGGTAGTGTCGCGTGCTCAGCGAGGCTTACATCCCCATACCCAGACGAGTAGTAGTAATGCGACACCAGTTTGGGCCAGAAATCGGATGCACACGTTGAGGGATGGGTCGATGAGAGCGCAATTGGGGTTGAGAACAGTTTGTTGAAGACTGTGGAGTGAATCTTTGGTGTTTCGGAGTGCCAGGGTCGCCCCAGAAAGCTTGAAAGGTCTGACCGTGGAGGGCGGATGGGAGCCAGGAGTAAAAGGGGGGATGGTTGCTTGCAATACGCAGATTCGAGATTTGGGGGTGGTTTGGCGGGTGGTTCCTCAATCTAGCAGCCCACCTCATTAGCTCCCTCTTGGCGTGCTCTAAAAATGGGATTGCCGGTGCGTGTTGGTACGTGCCAGAAGCTCCAGTCCCTGTAAGGCCAGCCACGTCGAGTCACGCTTGTTCATTCCAGCGCATTCGTTTCCCTCCACTGCCAGACTCGCATGTCGGGTGCCTCAAGGTACCTTGGTAAAGGCAGGTATGGACGACCGTTCTATCTGGCCCTTGCGTCAGACATGCAGCGCAAGTATAGCTCGGAGGTCAATCAGATCAGAGCGGCTGGTTCCTAATGCATGGACTCAGACAGAATGCATTCAGGCTTCTTTCTGTCTGGGCGCATCGTGGCTGCCCTGTCAAAAGGGGGACCCCTGATCTGAAACGCCCCTATAGGCATAGTCTTCTGCTGGACGCGGCTGCCCCGTCTGCACCAGCAGGGACCAATATGTACTGTCACGTGTCTAGGCGTCGAGCCTTCCACGTCATTCTTGGCAAGCGCGACTGCCCAACTCAACGCGACGGACATACCGTCAGGTACCTCTTCCCCCTAGCGAGGCGGCGTGCCTCTTACCCCAGATTGACACTATTCAATTCCACCAAACCTCAGCAGGCCCTGTCCATTCCCACATCGGTCATGAGCCAGAGGGAGAATCTGATGTAACACTCTTGCACCAAGACAATCGATTCGACCGATTTCATTGAAAT